GCTTTTTAAAAGAAAATCTAAGCACACCGCAGCGCAGCAGAGGTGGTCATCCCTCTCTACACCAACCCAATCATGCCCTAGCGTTCCGCGGAGCGGGCGCCCAGAGCGCTAGTTTCCCGCTCCCTAACCTTGTAGCCTGTCCGTCCGTCTGTCAATAAGTCCGTCCGGTTCCTTTCTTGCTGCTTTTTCCTGCCTTTTCGCATGGCTACACTCGGCCTTTCCAATACAGTTTGCTCCCATCCTATCGACCGCGCCTACCTTTCGACTCGACCTAACTATGCCAAAATTACAAATATATCCAAAAGCGTGACACAGTTAACTCGCGCCCTGATTGGGCAATACCGACCGACCTGCGACACTGACTGGATCTGTCGCACGATCAGACCGTCTCTCGCCCTCGCGATTGGACGCAAGGTAAACATTTCTGCCGAGCACGAAACGCATCGATTGGTTGCAAACAGCCAGGCGAGCTGCGCAGATACGTTTTATTAAATTGAGGTCTATAAAAAGGACAAATCGATCTAGCTAGACTGGCTGATAAAAAGAGCTACGGCAGTCAGATCAACCGCTTGGCATCGATCAACCACCAAGTCCACATCGATATCTTGTAAATCCAAATTGATCGGTAGGGATCGATGCTAAGATCTAGGAAATAAACAAAGCACAATACTTTTTGGTTTAAAAATCTTACACCGTGGGTAGTGCCTTCAAAATCGAAACGGCATAGTAAGATGAGAAGCTATCAGAACATTCAGGACACAATATTTGATTACACATGTCGAAAGAAAAGTGTCATTATATTCTTCGCCGGTGTACATCATGGCGTGCCGCATTCTCTTCAAAGTTTACCCTCAGCACTATCAGATTATTTGACATGGTCCCGTAGCAGACAATAGCTCGTAGTAGTTTACTCTGTCGCATTAGCAACGGAGACTGCTCATTTCAGGCACCTCTCTTGCTGCCCACTCATTTTTTGCCATTAACGTCTTTCAAGCGAACAGAATTTTCGCACACTACGGCTTTAACGTGATAATCCTAACTACATTTGCCTCCATTGTAGCGTCGCGTTAATCCAGAGAGACCCCAGTGAGTAGTAGACTGCCATTGGCGCTCGCCATGGACGGGTAAATAATGATGTAGCTCTGCTTCCCGACAGAACGAAATTTTTTCCAACTGCCGAATTGGGGGATGTATCCAGATTCTAGGCCTACGTCGCACATTATGTTTCTCCTGCACGATACAGTGCTTGCCTGGTCTCCTTCGACACTGGAAGGTCTTCAAAAGGTATGTCAAGTAGCAAAAGGGGTACTACTTTCCCGTATGATATCAATGTCCAGTGGTTTTAAGAAATACTAGGAGTAATTGATGCTCAAGAAATATGTGAGTACTAAACCAAAAACGAGATACCCTTTGCTCACAGCTCTTGAGTGCAGTTTAATGAGACTTCAAAGTCCGTGGCGTACAGTGCAAAACGATCCGATTGAGCTGCCCGTACGAGTCCACGTAGCCGTGTCTCTGCCCTATCACTTCTGGCTGCGAATCACTCTCTCCGCCTTCTCCCCAGACTGCCGCAAACGCCGGTGCCGTGATGTCTTAGCTGCGTCTACAGACCACTCCTAAATGCGTACATAAATGGACAAATGTCCTCGCTTGTTTCGCCGTTGTAGTGGCTCAGGGATGTGGACAGTGTCGCGCAAAGAAAGCTACTTCGAAGTACTAGTTTTAATAATGCGTGTGCGGCTTGGATAAATAGTTTCTGGCCGTCACCATCGCATACTAGTTTAGCAAGGTAATTTGTCTTCATCTTTGGTGGATGGATCGACCTACGTGCATAATATTATTTATGCAAAGGAAGCCATTTTTTCAAAGACTTCTTCAGCTAAACACTGAAGCGAGCCAAAGCTGTTATGCCAGGGTATACGAAATCGCCGGATAATCACATCCATCGGTGGACTCATGATAAAATCCAGAGAGCTTTCGCAGACAAGATTTCAGTTTCAGCGAATGAAAGCACCGTACTCATAGACGGGCTCAAAAATAGCTCTATCGCTGGTTAGGGTATAGCTTAAAGAGTTGTTCATGTAGCTTAACTCCCCTATTCAGCTTCAGTGGAGGAAACAAAACACAGCACTGGCCAAGAAGGTGCTCGTGGCGCCCAAACTGACAGCAGACTAAGCTTCCACTATCATTTGCAGTACTTGGGCTGCTGCCAGAGGTAAGAGAAAGCGAGTCTTTGCTACCAAGTCAGCTCTTATAGAAAACCATTGTTTTCGTCTTCTCGTGTGCAACCCTCGGATCAACTTCAGAAACCAGCTTGACCTAGCAATGAATGACCCCACCACCCACATTCGCTACAGTTTCACGATCAACGATCTCCACTATTTATAAAGTGTTGTTACAGTTCTGGAAGTGAAATGAATGTATTCTTGGTATCTGTTGGCAGGATGTAGCTGTTCTTACTGAGTTCCATGCGCGTAAGCTCTGCGAATGGCGTGGGCTAGCTCTTCCACTTGATATTCTAATGAGTCACCGTGGATGAATGCCACGCTCCAGATATACACCCCCTCTGTTTCAGAAAGACGGCAATCTGCTACTTACCCGACACGATGCTCTTTGTAGGTCTTTCCTTTGTCTTTTACGTCAAACCCTTCGACTACAGGCCATTTAAGTGGCCTACCAGGATTCTTTTTAAACAGCTCAATCAGTCGATCGACGTCATACATATCCGATTCGCGCTGTAGCGCTCCGACAATCGCGCGCGGGCGTCCAGGAAGCCCACGCCTCGGGATTGCCGCCATGGCTAGCCCACTCTTGATTTTCTCTAGCAAGTCCAGAGACGCAATTACGTGTGCACATATCCACCCCGTGTGCATGTAATTTTTGCAGGTGCAGCGGAGAGCACTACGAGCAGCTTGAATCTGTAAAATAAAATGGAATTATTACATAAAACGGTTATAATTTAAGTTTAGTATAAGCACGTAAGGAAACTCCCTAGGTTAGGGTAGTGCCACTTAGCACGTATTAATAGTGTCAGGGGGGTCATGTCCTCAATTAGACGATCATCCACAATGACTTGCTGCAAGAAGAGAAATTGCACCTCCGCCGTTTCAATTGATTCCTCTTCGCCTAGATTTCCCGTCAAAGAGTGCTTGAAGCTACCACACTCAAAGACAACGTGCTAGAATATAAGCAAGACGAACGCTTACAGCCACTCACAGTTTTGTACGCTCGGTCGTCACCTTAGCAGCGGCAAAGTTGCTTGCAGCAACCTGCATCATCATTGTCCTCTCGCTGTTAAAAAAGATTCTTGTGCGACCAATTGTTTCGCCTTGGCAATGCGATGATTACTAGAGTGAAGCAACTTAATATTTGCTTTTATGACGGCGGCGCCGTTAAGTGGCTCTACATACCAACAACAAAAAATATTAATAAAAACCATAAATGATAGTTAATAACTGAGCATTTCCCACTTACCTTCTGCAAAGTGACGGTGTTGATGCAAGATAAGTAGCATCATACAGAAGAACTCTAGGCAATAAAGCGTTCAGGACCGTTATGGGCGGGGCTTTCTTGTAATCTGTAAATATGACTTTTATCACACGATAATGGCTTTCCGATAGGCTGTTGTGTGGCAGGAAGCCAGGTATTGTGGAGCTATTCACACTTCCAACGTGGTATCAAATAAACGTTTTGAAGCCACAATGCCAACGCATGCTCGCCGTGCGGTTCCCCAGCTCTTACTTACTCGCTTGGACAGTGATCTAAATTGTTTTAGTGACCTGCACTTGTGGAGTAGACGAATGTGAGGCTTAACCACGTCTTTAATGAACCCCTTTCTTTTCTCGAGTCGGATGTGCTTGTTACACTGACGTAGTAGGTGCTCATAACATGTGAGAATCTCGACAGCAGGCCATACCAATTCGAGTGCCGACGCGCGTCCGAGTGATCTATGCTTGCACTGTGGATGCGCACGTCTTCATCAAAAAACGTTTTGTGTACTTCACTAAGGCACCAAGCATCCGTTCATATGCTAATGTGCTCTCAGTGCGCACAAACTTGTAAATCCATGGACGGAAGCGTGCGCTCAACAGAAATACCACCGCAATCTAGAAGAGTCCAGCCTCCAAAATGGATCCTATAGGTCCCATCCGTAGATAAAACTAGAGTATCACCTTGGTCTCGAACGGTCCGACGAACATTTTTGAAAAGTGCCCTCGATGTCACTACCAAACCTATAGAAGGGACCGAGACTCCGTTAATTTCATCGGAATATTCAAATTCATCCAGAACGATCATATTGTTCATTTCAGCAACGTCGTTTTCATCCACGCGAAAAAGCTGGCACGATCCTGGCAAAGTCTGGTACTTGTCCAGCTTTTTATGTGACAAACTTGGTCATTTTTCCAGCCCTCTTCAGCTTTCTTTTTGAGATGAGCTTTACGGTTCTCCATTGTTTTGGTCTCGGGTATCAATGCCACCATACTTGGGTCACGAAGGTACTTAAACATCATCATGTTGCGAACACGACCAGCAGACATCCCAACTTTCAGTAGTGCGTCGATTTCCGGTTTGATCACAGGTGATATACCTCTAGTCCGTAAGTTGACAACGGCACCGGTGTGTTGGCCAATCTGGGGTACCTGAAACCGTATTCCTAACTCACCGGCGTGGTGTGTGATTAGTTTAATGCTGTGATGGCAGTCTTGGTGTGATCGACACAGGTATTCCTTGCCAACACGAAATGTCGAGATATATCTAGTTTTGTGTGTGTATACAAACTCATTTAAGCGATGTAGATTCTTTTCCGAAGTACCTAGCACTAACGTATACCGATACTTCAGCCAAAGTACTGTATTCATAGACAGAGCGTCTTCTTCATCACTGTCGATGCCGTAGTTGAGGGAAGATTCAGAGTCTTGTTCTTCATCATCTCCAGTGTTACCTCCGTCGGGAATGATAACGGCGCTGGCAATGGCAGCTTCGTCGCTTTCGATGCTCTTCACATAATCATCCCCGAGGTCCAACGCTTCTTCAACGGAATTCCTAGCGCTGGGCATGTCTACATTGGACGATCTGGTTGGTTTTAATGTCTCCAAACAAGTTACATCAAAGGAGCTGAGTTGGACTTCACAGTGTCGGTTTGTAGTATTATGCGCTACGTCGTCAGATGCGTCTGTAGTTCTGTACATACCCTCGTCGGCTGACGCGGTCGTGCTATACATGTCGGCGTCATCATCTGCGGCAAAAAGGCTTTGTACGCCTGAATCGCAAGCCACGTCATCATACTCCAAGACCTCGGTAACATCGCTGTCATTGCTGGGGGAGGCCCCAGCCGACTGCATGTGAGCTTGCACGTGGGTTTCACAATGGCTTCAGAGGGGGTGCTGTTATGAAACGGACTTGTTTCCGACCAATGACACTAAAAAAACAGACCGTCATCACTAAAGTTATGTTAGTCGTTAAGGCAACAGCTATTCATAGCCTTCCAGCAATCGTTCAGACAGAGCAATAGATTTTCATACAAATGTAGTACCAACAGATCAATCAGTATTTGAGCAACATAAATTAAGACTATTCCCGTGGAGGCACGTGTGATTAATTTGGCTACAGGCCAAAGGCGTAAAGGTTCCTGCCTTGATAGGCAAGGTGCCGAATGACATCCCCTTCGGATGTTATAGTATTAAAATTTAAATCTTTGTTATTTTAAAAATATATATTAAATCATTAATCTTCGGCGATGGTGGGAGGGTAAAATATAGCCGTCATCGAGCTTGCTTATGGATGCGTGAGCGAAGGCGATGCTCATGGCGCGGAGTTTGCGACGATGAGCTCCAGATGAACCCCAGAAAGCCAGGGGTGGCTGGTGATTGGACAAGGGGATATGTCCGTTTTCTGATGTTTGATCGCAGAATATACGCAAATTCGGTGCCCTCCTTCATGGAAAACACGGTTTCCTCAACTTTGTCCGCCTCACGCACCCGCTGCGCGCACCCCTTACGCTACCAGCACACGGAAAACAAACCGCTCTGAAACTCAAACTAAAATCAACTGAGCTTCGAAAGTTCAATATTGTGCTTTTCAATTCGTTCGTCGTTCTCACCGTCGATTTTTAAAAAAATGAGATCGTTTTATATTTCGAGGCCAGAAAAAAAGCAAATCGATCAAGCGAAGCTACCACAAACTATCGATACTGTATAATTAATTGAGCGCACGAGATGGATATCCAAGCAAATCCCATCGATCTTCTGTAAATTGATTCTTTTTTTTTGCGTGTTTGAAGACGCGCAGATAAAATAATTCCACGTCTGCCTTTTCCTATCTCATCTCATTTGTATGCATGTTTTTATGCGCCGAGGGGTCTACTACGATAGCTCTATTTGCTTACAAAGGTCAAGTCAAATACTTGCAGTATTAAATTATTGTTAATAATCATATTGCTTCGATTTAATACTGCACGTATTAACCTTATCGCGGTGTGAGAGTGCAATTTTCGCCCTTAAAACCCTTTTTCAAAACAAGGTGGGAAATGACCCTCTAAAAGGGCAAAACAAATTGCCCTTTTAGCCTTTACTCCAGCTCTGCCTACCGTGTATCATTACTACCGATCACAGCAGTGAATGCAATGAGGGTGTGGGTAATTTTTGGTCGTCTGATCACCGCATCGTATTTCGTTGCTCCAACGATGTTGATCGGCCCTTTCTACTCGGCCGTGTCATTAATCTAGAGGTCAATCGCCCGACAGCCAGTCACCAGACCATACAAAAGGTAAGACAAATGCACATATACGTCCTCCCATTCTGCTTTAGTACTCTCAAGACTAATGTGCACTAGCTTCACAGACACAGAAGACAAGCTGCGGGTGCAAATCGTCTTCCAGCTCGAGAAGGAGGGCTTGCGCATCACATGGGACTACGTGGACCGCCGAAGACCAAGCGGCCTGCCGCCAACTGCAGCTTCGGCTGGCCAGCCTCAAAAGGACGTTTGGGAAGGCGATCAGCGACCTCTCACCATGTGTTGCTTAGCGGCATGTCTTCAGGACGTCTTCTCAGTCTGCCGACCTCCAGCTACTACGTCGAGTGCAAAGGTCTCTGCGATGATCACCACGCGCCAGGTTCGTCTGCTTTGGGGAGACGTTTGTGCCGTTTGTGAGAGTGACGTCGCACTTGTTGCTAAGGTGACGGTACACATGAGAGTACTGCCAGTGGCGGAGAGGTGCCAGACAGAAAGGAGCAAGGGCTCTGATCAGAATGCAGGAGCTAATGGTGACTGTATGGCGCGTAACGTTGGGGGGTGCCGTCATCCACCGGCGCCTAGAGCGAAAAACCCATCGGATGAGTCTCGGATTGTCGGTGTAAAAATTGACGTTGACAATACTAACCTGGGCTTTTTTGTGACGAAGTAGCCGATTTCGGATGCCGTAGAGATAATCTAGACGACGTCCAAGCTGCTGGAGCGGTGGATTAAATTGTTGGAAGTATCAGTGCTCATGGCGTTTGCCACCTGCTGGCCGCACTTATGACAACGCGGGTTAGGTGCTACCGTCTGGGGCTACTCTCCTACTTGCAGCCGCTGGTCCACTCGATATAGCGGGCATATTTGTTGATGTTGAGGCCGGTGCTGGCAACGTGCTTGCGCAAGTAGCACTTACGAGGAACGTCAGAGCGTGCATCGGGGTCGAGCTTCGACGAGACCACGTCTCTTTAGGTGATCGTTGTATGCAGCAGCAGCTCAAGCAATATCCATGGCTCAGGAAGATACTGCTCAAACAAGTGAATGTTAGAGATGGTTCGATGTCACGGCTTCCTCACATTTGTGAAGCCACTATTGTCTTCGATAAGATATTCCTCTTTGAAGAAGATGCTAAGCTGATTGTTTTACGAGAGCTACGTGCAATGTCAGAGGCACGGATGATAGTTGCAACGTCGCTCTTCTGCCCGAGTCATCGTTCATCTTGCACAGAGCCATGCTGCAAGTGCTGGGAGCTCGATCATCACATAGAAGTACATGTTAGCTGGAAGGCAACGCTCCATCCACTCTTTATATACCGTAAGAAACTATGATTCGTTTTATCAGATCCCACTTGCCTCTCATGAATATATCCGCCACGTCCGCGGGCGCTGGCTTCACCACGACCTGCACCAACAAGCCCAACTGCAGCACCACCAGTCGCGCTAGTGGTACCACCAAGTCCGCCGGCGCCACCACAACTTGCACCACTAAGTCCAACTGCAGCGCCAAGTCCGACACCAACATCGCCTGAGCCAACGCCGGCAGCATCATCACCAAGGTCGCGCGCCAGCTTGTCCTAGTCACAGCTATATGCGTCATTGCCCCTAGGTCGTCCTGTATCACAGCCACTACTTCCACGCACAGTCTCTCGCTCCGCGTCCCTGCTTATTCTGCGATCAGTCCTTTCACGCTCTCGCGCAGCTTTGTTGGCATTCCCGCCTGACGCACGGTAAGCGGCGTGGCACTGCCGCTCGGACCAAACGCGTTATGGCCTTGAGCATCACCTTCACTGAGCCCGCCGCCACCGAGCCCGTAACCAATCTGCCGAGCAGTCGCAAGCCGTGGTGTTTGTGGTCTCATCTCGCAGCTTCACAAGACCACAGTGACGACGTACATTTCTTCTATCGGTAAACAGACCATTAGGAAAGTAGAACGGGTGAAATTTATTCCAGCAAGTAGATGTTGTCGACGGACACATCCATGGTTTCGCGGGGTGGTCATGTACAACCCGGCATAAACGCACACCGTATGTTAGGTGACCTCGGTCGGACAGCGCCCCTCCCATCTACACACAATACAGCTCCGGCGTTTTCGGCTCTTCTCAGCGTGAATTTGTCTTAAAGATACCGATGTGAACGCCGTTGTTGGCAGCACTGCAGTCTTGCTGGGTTGTGTCCGAGATGAAGGTGTGCCAACTTGCCCCACATCTCCGCTGTCGAGCATTCCACAACTATATAGCACTCTACCGCCACTAGGTGCATTCCTCCACTGCCCGTTCAAAAGATCACCGACCAGCTCCATCAGGAACGATCTGTGGGGGTCACGAGTCGCTGGGTCCGTCTTCACCAGTCGCCACGTAAGATATGCGTTTGACCGTGCAACGTCAATAAGCGCGAGGGTCAGCTTCTTGTCTCATCGTTTGTACAAATGGCCATCCGCAGTAGAGAATCGTTCTCGAATTTGGTCGAGGCGATCAACATTCTGCACATTTGTGTTGAACTGGGCAACACGTTCTGGGGCTAGATATAACTGCTTCTCCCTGCCAGCCATTCGAGCTACACAAGTGATATTTGAAGAATCCGCATTGGACACCAGGTTGACCACGTTTCCGCCACACCATGACGCCGCTAGCATGCTGTGGTCGTGCGAGACGGCTTGACGATAATCCACGGTTGCAGTCAGAAGGTCGGGATATCAAATTGTAATGTGCTCGCAAAATTTGGGCGAGAAGGATTTGGCGTCATAGCGCTTTACAAAGTTTCACTTGTCCATAAATAGCGTAAGATATATGCACCAGTTGACCGCAACCCACGGAACCGTACAAAACCAGCGTCAAGGTTCTGCCTCGCTTCCAGCTAGCTACCCCTAAGTAATTGCTAAAGATGCATCTTGAGCATTATGTAGCAGCCTCCGTCTGATCGCGGCCGTCTATAGGCTAACCAAGGCTGCATTAGCTCCGTAGACTTGTTATTCCCACCGCTTATTTGGTGTTGGGCGCTAACACGACACCGAGCGCCGCGGCGAGCATCATCCACTGATCAACGCCAACGCGTCATCATTCAGAAACTGGTCGCTGGGTAAATATCTTCGTATTTGTCGGCGTGATGTTACCGGGAAGGTACGTTGTACCAGTTTGTTTGTCCAGTCACGATAGTTGTGGTCGCCATCGCCTCAATCGTTCCTAATGTTCGCTTATTAGCCAATCAAAAAAACTGTAAAGGGCGTTTTTTTTCTCCCTTTTAGGTCGCAGGCTAACTATTCCAACTGCATGTCTCTATCTACAAAATTCCCTTAGTTATCACGTACGATTTGCTATGACATTTAGGAGGGTTTCAATCAATCAGGGGCGGAGCGGGAAAGACCTCCGTGCATCCTTTTTGGCGATCGCATTCAGCCGTACGGACTGTCTTTCTGTCTGTTCATTTTGCCATCGGATGGCTTCTACGCAACGCCGCCGCCCAAAAGGGCGACCACGACTTCCAGGAGGCCGAGGCCGTAAAGTGAGGAATAACCTCGTGTCATTCTTCACAGCGGCGCACAAACTAGAGGTCCTACACCCCTTGGAAAGGGGTGGAGACATCAAGCGATCGATGAGTAATTTGTATACTGATTTTACTCAGTCTAAATATGACAGCCGCCGTACACTTATTCATTGTTGGCGCCGAACACGGCCCAAACTCGAAAAAAGAAAAAGTCACGAGCGAAAGGTGAGGGCACGGTGCTGCCAAAAGATAAGGAGCTTTGTTTGGTACGCTGTATAGAAGATTTGAGGGAGGAATGGGTTTGATTGAACGTGGTGGTGGAGAACACGACGATATCGAACCTAAAAGTACGAGGATGCAAATGACATCGTGAATAAAAACCTTTTATCGGGGGATTTAGACATGGAGATAGCAGAATTTACGCTGTTATTATAGTTTGGACGATGATTTTGACGACATGTTCCGAACCGCTGCAGATAATAATCTACAACAATAGTTTTTTAAACACTTTGGATAGACCGTACATGCAATTTCTGGTTATGTGCGAACACCTTTCTGAATGTCATAGCTGAGGGAATTCGTTACAGCTAAAAGAGCGAAAAAATCGCCCTCTTACCTTGATTTGACTTAATTTTGTATAGTATAGCCTCGTTAAAGTGTGTACAATCACATCTCTCTAAGTGGTACCCAAATGGTTCGGCCGAAATGGACTATTATTTTAAAGAAATGGTCATTTAAAGAAAATCGCTACATGTAGCCATTTTGGTGAAAGAAGCAACTGCGACGTTTGCGCTTGTGTTTTATGACCTGGGTTCTCATTAACGTCGTTAGCATTCCTTGTTCATGCTCTGTATACCTTTCATACTGATGAGTAAATACAAAAGCTCAATGTAGCGCCCGAGTGCTGTCGATGCTAGAATAGGTGGGTCTGGTAATGTCAGCTTCAGCATGTAAGCGTTTTGACAGCATATCGTTGCGTGTTTTAAATAATATTTATTATGTGCTGCCATACATTGGTTACTGTTAGTCGATACTGGCTGGCTGTAGTTTTTGAGGCTAGATTTTATATCACTGTCTATGAGCAGCCAATAGGTCATCCGATGTGATTGTGCTGGCCTCGTGTTTGTGGAAGAAGTCGACCAGTTCCTTTCCTATAAAAAATGTTTACTCGGCGGCGTCGTGTAGCTGACATTTTGGCACTACAAAGGTGCCCTAGTTGCTACTTTAAAGATAAACCGACGTGGTATTCATTTCGTTAAGTTTAGGTAAGTAGTTTGAGATCTATCGCGGCTCAAAAGTATTAATAGTGTATCATTTTATCGTGAGTACAAACTATAAAACGGAGCGACATTCCATATACAGTCACACCTCTCTTACTGAGCCTCTGTAAGTGACCATTGATTCTTTATTTGACTACCAAAGCTCCCAATATGTTTAATGTATGCACTATTTTGAAAAATAGAAAACAAAGTAAAAAAACAATCGTTAAAATTGGTAGAAATGTTTTATAGGCAATATATACTGTATGTGCATGGCGGACACTTCGAGCCACGAGGGGCAACCAAATTTGGCGGCAAGTGCCGCGGAGACGGCGTCGCATTGCATACATGTACTTCACTTACCCGCCATGCAAGCAACCTGTATATCCAGGAAGCCCATGTGTTAAGCAACCCATTCTCATGTTTCGTTGCAAGGCATTGATATTCAGCTTCAGTAGGGTCCAAAACCCTTTTAAGCCTGTAGTACAGGTGCGATTTCTTGATAGTTAGTGCTTGCAAGTTGGCACATATACTTTACAGAAGCAAGCGGTTCTATCCGTGTCGATGGGCTTCCATCGTTTCGCTTCGATAAAGTTAGGAGCCCAAATGTAATACTTCACTGTGTCAGTACGACAATAACCAAGTATTGTAGTGAGCCAATACCGTAATTATTGGGTTTAAGTTTTTTTTATCCTGACCGCCATCAATGTCCTTCTCGGTCCATGAGTTGATTCTCGATTTATAGATTGTCCCGCCACTTTTCGACTTCATCAGATAGATCGGGTACTTCTTGTGCTTATAGGCCGTTTCGCCAAGGCCATCTAAGTCCAAGTAGGTGTGTAATTGTTTCGGATTCATCTTGTTAAAAAGGTACTTGATCCAATCCGTAAATCGACGAAAAATTCGTTCTTCGTCGTCTTCTCGGTCCTCAACATTGCTAACTTTCATGTGGTCGGCTCTTAGGGATCGCTTGCCAAGGGCGTTTTGTTCTCCATCGAGAACTGGGCGCTGCTATTTGCCTCGTTTCAGCCGCAGTCATCGTCAAGGCAGGGATGTGTAAAAACACAATGGCCGCTGCTAGCAGCATCAGGTAGTCGCTCCGCATCGACAATAGGTGCTCCTAGTGGTTGTTTTGTTTGGTAGAAGGAAAAATGCGAAGTGAGAAATCGCATGGGTGAAGAACAGTGTATGATAGTACAGTAAACAGGTTCAGAGTTTACGCCTGAGCTAAACACGAGCTGTGGATTACGGTATCGTTTAAACGTAATACTGTACAACGTCCCAGGATTAGCTTACATCGTGTACCGGAATGTACGGTATTTTTGCAACCGATCAAGTTTTTGCAACCAGTGGTCCGTAGAAAGTCTGCAAAATTATTAAAGTTTAATAACCTGTTTGGCATCAAAACAGTGTCCCAGTTAAAGCGCGCCCTTTCTTAAGCAAAGCGACGGTTTCAAATGGACAGGAGTATCTTGTGCGAGATTTTACGCCTTCCGCCGTTTTTACGGTTTTGACCTGAAGGTACTTTTTACACCGGTTGTAGAAAACCGGTATGTTTTGAGAGATTGCTTTCTACACGCAACATAGCTT